AAAACTTTGTGTCATGCACAGAAGGGTACCCAGGGTGATAGGGTTAATGCATCATTCTTTTATATATATATATATAATATATATATGAGTTTTTGTGTTTGATGTATTAAAATTGAAAAGTAACCATTTTATGATTTGTAATATCACAGCTATGAATTTGTTAGTCATGGACTGATGCTGTACCACACAGTGATGACTTAAATACGTATTGGTCAATTATATTAAAATTCTACATATTTAGCTTCAATTACTTAATTACAGTTAAATTGATTGTCACAAAAATAATCTAACAAAAATTTGGGTTTCTGATCACTACAACTATCCAAGTAATTGAATGTCAATGATATTTGCTGCAAAATGGGTATGGAGCTCTGCCCAATTTTAGCCTTAAAAGCTTTTTTTTTTTTTTTTTTATCAAAGTTTGTTCAGGTGGGGGTTGAAGCTCATGAGGTAAGGTTCTCAGGTTCATTTCCCATTGCTAATACATTTGCTTGCCTTGTTTTTGCTATGGCAAAGATTACTAAGTCTGTCTACCTCTGCCACTAATTTTGATCTGGCGACTAGAGAGAAGGCAACTAATTGGCAGCACTCACCACCAACTTAATTGATTGTGCTTACCATGATTCGAGCACTGCACTATTTGAATTTAATCAAGTAATGGGACTGTCAGTTAACCAATATACAAATACAGCTAATCATCCAGCTTTAGTGGCAGCAGAAATCATGTAATTTCCAGAATCGAATCTAGTGGAGTTGGATGATTTCAAAAATTACTGGAACCAACCCAGCAAAACAAGCATGTTAAAATTCCAAAAACCTATATAAAGTTTTGTTTATATTTACCTTTTCCATTACTGTTAATAATTAATATTTTTAAAATCTTATATGACTTAACCCTGTTTTAATTCAAAGCTTGTTGCTTTTATTTTTGCATTCCAAGGACAGCTAAAAGGCTTTTTTTCCTTGTTTAAGTTATTAAGTAAATTTTAATAGAATCTTTTAAACCTGTAAAATCATCTGAATCTTTACTTGTGTTTGATAAAATTTTGTTCTTAAGTACAACAAAGATAAATGTTAACAATGTCTTGCTGTAGGCCTAAGACATCTAGCCTAAACTGTAAAGTGGCCTCCTTACACACATCATCACTTCTTGGATTACATTAAGATCACATTACTAACTATATCCTCCTCAGTACTACAGGCAATATTTAAAAATGTCATTATATTTTGTGAGTTCTGCAATGAGTTACAACAAAGGTATACAGAATATATAACAAAAAGAAGTTGCAATTTCTTTTTTCCCCAAAAAAAGATAATTAGGTATCTAAACCTATCCCACTCCTTATCATTGAGTAATTTTTTTTTTCTTTGTTGTTGTATTAGGGATTAATTAAAAACTTCATCCACTCTCACAATGTGAAGTCTCAGCAGCAACAGTGGTCTAGCTAACAAACAACTAAACACTACAAAAAAGTAAATTGAGAAATTGTTTGAAACAAATAAGATACATGTAATTTTAGCATATTAAAGAATTAATAGTGAAAGATAGCTCCTGGCACACTGTTAGGCTTAGCTATGTGTACATGAACCAACCTTCACAATATGAGGAAGTTCAATAGAATAGTCTAAAACAATCCTACCCTGTATGCATTTCACTTTCAGCTTAAAAACTTAATGGTTCTCAAAAACTTCATATTAAAATTTCTTCTAACACAGTCTCCATGTTGTAAACAGTTAGTTTACCAGTGCCTTAAATTTTATTTTGATACAAAAATTATAAAAAATTTTAACTATTTTTTGTGCATTATTATATAAATTACTAGACAAAAACAAACAGGTAATATAAGCTTTGAATCACTGAAATATAACTCAACTGAGCTAACCACATACAGAACATATTAATGTTACTTTAACAATGTTTTAAGTTACTTTAGGACTACATGGATGACACTGATTAATCCAAAATGCCGTGCTAGTATAGTAAGTATCTTTCATGTAGAAAGTATTGAAAATTTGGTTATAGTGTTACAGGCTAACTTGATATGTAATTGGTATTATACCATCATTGTAAAAATGAAAAATTACTGCAGCTGCAGTGGAGAAGTGAAATATTATTGTTACTTAGTAGTTTCATTTTTAGTTTACTTACTAATTAAATATATTTTATTACAAGTTACAGCTTTTTCAGTAAGATTTGTTTTTACAACAGGTATGATGTTTTGATCACTGTTGTGGTCATTCTTAAGTACTTGTGTACTGATTGAAATGTTGTACCTGTTCTAAAAAACAAACCTTAGTTGCTGTAAAAGCTGTAACGTGTAATAAAATGTTCTTGTTACTTGTTAACACAATAATACTATATTATCTGAATAGACTTTCTGTTTTGTTATTCTTCCATCCCTAGTGGATTTCAGTCTTTTTAAGATAAAGCTGTAACTATTAAAAGTTTAATTTTACAAAGTAAGTTGATGTTATTGTAATTTTTATGTTGTTTGACTTAAAATTTAGCCAACCCAAAAATACTAGGTTTTTACTTTGGCCAAGTACTGTGTAGTTATAGAAACAGCATTTACAGTCTCCAATATTTTCATTAATCTAAAAGATGAAAAGCTGTCCATTTGTCATGCTGATATCTCAGCTTTTGTGGTACCGATAGACACGCAACTTGCATGAAATGACAATGTTCTCTGTTGTGATAAGCAAGTACATCTTTTTAAAATTCTTCTAGCCATATTTATATATAAGACAGATGATACACTACTTTGGGCATATAATTAGATTTGAGGGTAGGTTGGTAGAGGTGATGATGAGTAATAATATTGAGTAAGGAAGTCAAAATGCTAATCAAGCAATACTTAAAGGAGATGACCAAATATACATAAAATATGTTGTTTTCATGAAATAGTAGGAATACGATAAGTCATTCTCCATACATATATTGTTATTAATTTAT